CGGGAACCGGGGTCACGCTGCTGCCGTCCGGTGCCCGGGTCTGTGGCCCAGGTCCTCCAGCAGACACCCGGTGCGAACTGGGGGCGCACCGCGCGGTGCGGAGAGAGAGCGCCAGCCGGCCTGTGCCGGTGAGTGTAGAGGTTGCGCTAGGGGGTGCCGCGGGGAGGGATAAAAGCCAACAAAGAGCACAGACCTCGTCCAGCAGTTGGTTGACTCGTCCCAAAATAGCCGTCTCCATTTGCTGCTCCCCGCGCTCCGCTTCCAGGCGCACCACCCGGGCCTGCAGCTCGGCTGCACCCAGCACCCAGCTCTCCAGGGCCGCGGGCGCCGGAGGCTGCAGCTTTGCGAGCGCGCTCCGCCACCATCCCTCACGTCTTGAGAACCAATAAATAAATAGAATAAATAAAGGCCAGAGCCGCTGCCGAAAAGCGCGGTCCAAACTGCGGAGTTGGGGGAAAGGGCTCGTGTTGCTGGCAAGCGTCCCTTTCCTTTGCTCCGGGGCACCCAGCTCTCCAGGGCCGCGGGCGCCGGAGGCTGCAGCTTTGCGAGCGCGCTCCGCCACCATCCCTCACGTCTTGAGAACCAATAAATAAATAGAATAAATAAAGGCCAGAGCCGCTGCCGAAAAGCGCGGTCCAAACTGCGGAGTTGGGGGAAAGGGCTCGTGTTGCTGGCAAGCGTCCCTTTCCTTTGCTCCGGGCAAAGAGGACAACAAAAATTAGCAGTAGGAGGAGGAAAGCCGAAAATCACGACCAGCGGAAATCAGAGTACAACCAAGTGAGAAAAAAGTTATTTCGAAGAAGGTTGCAAGTCCAGGAAAGTTAGGGGCATCTGGCCGGCTCTCCGCGCTCCTGTCCCTTCCAGCGCGTGCAGATTCCTCTCGTTGGTGCCGCGCAGTCTGCGCCGCTGGGCGTCTCGCGTCCCCCGGGCCAGCCAGTTTCAGTCCCCGGGAGCAGGGGTTCGCTCGGAGGGCCCCATGGGCAGAGGTGGGTCGCGGCCGTCGCCGAGGAGCGCTGGGGCCGATTCCGGCGCCTCTGTAACTTGACACACTCCCTGCGGCTGCACGGATCGGATGAGCAATCCGTGCTACTTCCCAAACTAATCTCTCCCGCCCTCTCCCTCCTCCTCCTCCCCACTCCTCCTCCACCTCCTGCGGGGCCGACGGCCTGGATTTGTTTATTTATGCAAACTCGCCCGGGTGGGGGGGCGTGGTGTGCGGGGCCCGCTGTCCCAGCCCGCTGGCCTGGGAGCCCCTCTCCCTCGCTCCCCGTCCTCTTTGAAGTGACACTTGAGGTTATTTATAGGCAGGAAGGGGGTGTGGAGCTGGGGCTGCACTCCTCACCCTTCTCCAGATTCACACCGAGGCCCGTTAACCTTCCGCCAAAAGCGCAGGGTCCTGCGGCACGGTACCCTACTTTCCCAGAAGTTGGCAAAGCCGGTCTTTGGGACGCTCCAGGCACCTGGCCGAGTCACTGGCAGGCCGTCGGAATGGACCTCCGTGTCCCAGGCACGACGATCCGAACCCCTCACCGGACATTGTGCCCCACCTGCTGATTCCACCTTGGTCTCCACCCCAGCTCCTCCGGCGCCCTGTGGTGGTGGTGGTGGTGATAGGGATTTATCTTCCAGCCCTCTGGGGGCCAGCAGCTCTGACCTCCCTTTCTCTCCTTTAAAACCAGGACCTCGCAAGATACAGGAGAAGAGAGGGGGAGCCGGGGTCACAGGCAGGGCGCAGGTCTTGATCTCTCCCTTCCTGCTTGCACAGATTTGGGGCCCATGTCATTCTCCCCTGTGCTGCTCTTAGACCAGACTGCCCCTCCGTCCCAGCTAGCCAAGGTGAGCGGCCTTGACACTCTGGGATTCTGTCCCCGCGGAGTCACGCCTCCCTGCTACCTTCCGACTTTCCCTCCTGCTGCCATTTCCCATCCCACTCTCGTTCTCCTAGAGAAAAGCTAGTGCCCTGAAGGGCATTTTTGCATTTGTAGTTTCCCCTCTTCTTTGTCACCTCCAGCCACTTTAAGGTTTGTATCTCCAGAGACTTTATGTCCTTGTGCTCCTGGAGGTGGTGAGATTGAGTTTTTGGGGAAAGCCTTAGGGAGGCAGGGGAGAGAAGGCTGGCCCCTGAACGTGAAGAGGACCTGGCCCCTTCAAGTTGACATGGGGCGCCACAGGCTTCACCCTTTACACATGGATGGGAGGGAGTTTAATCTGTAACACAGCATCACAGCACATCTGGCAGACTTGCACGTCTGAGAAAGTGTGTTGAACTTGTAACCTAATGTTTATGTCATGATTAGCATTGTAACATCGCTGAGTGGAAGACTACCTGGAGAGCGAGTGGGAAGAAAGGGCAGGGTGACCAGGAGCTCTAGGTTCTAGACCCAGCTCTAGGATTTTTCTTGATGTGCCTCACTGAGTAGTGCACCTTTATTTCTAAGTCCCTGCCCTGGAACGTCCTGTGACAGTTGCTGGGCAGAGTACCAATCCTTGAGAACACGGAGGTATTAAAGACCGCTAGGGGGCACTGGAGAGTTTCTCAGCTGGGAGGTGTCAGCCAGCAAATTCAGGGACTTGAGGTTCCACTCCCTCCCAGACCAGTATAGAGGAACTGAACTGGAAATTAGTTTCAATCCTTGCTTATTTCACAAGCTGGTCTTTCCCTTTCATGTTGCCAGAGGCCCTTGAATACTTAGGCTGGGAAAGCTAAACAGTTTGGAGCTGTGGCAATTTTGAGACTGGGAGCTGAGGGAGGAGGGGACCATGATGGCACTGTGGGCCCCAACACTGGAAACACGTCCCAGCTCCAGAATTTCCTCAGACCCTTGAAGTCAGAGAAACCCAGGCATGGATCATATTCTATTATGCTGGAGTTATTGTCTCCGAGCCTCAGTTTGCTCGTTTATAAAATGAGCTTATAATAAAAGTATCTGCCAATTTGGGAGGACTTAGTAAAGAAATACATATAAAGCACAGTGCCTGGCACATAGTAGACACTCATAAATGTAGGTAGGGGCAGGACATGGCTACCTGTGGGATGCTGGGTGGTAAATGGATGTGTAGGGGGAACTATATCCTAAGAAGAAGCAAACAACAGTCAGTTTGCTTCTGTTTTCCCAAAGTTGGTGGCTATCTTGTGACAAACAAGACTTCCTCTGACATGAGGGGCCATAGATGTCCCATCCTTTCTCTGCAACTGTTTGAAATTCTGACCTCAGAGACTTTCTCAGATTAAACACCATCTTTCCTAGATAAGTGTTACAGCAAACTGGGCTTATCTTAAGCCCCTCTTTCTTCAGAGTTGGGCTGGACCCAGAGACTTAGAGATGAAAAGATCTTGGCTTCTAAGAAGTCAGAGGTCAGTGGGGAAACTAAGCCACGTCACCATACAACTGCCACACAAGGCAGAGCAGGCGACTGTAATCAGGCCATGAGAGTAAGGGCCTTGGGGGTCCCCAGAAAGAAAGACAGGGATCTGGTGGTCCAGGGAGAGTCCCAGGAAATAGAAGCTCTGATGTGCCTCAAGAAGGTAGAGGGTCTTCAGTGCTAACTTTGGTCTGTGGTTGTAGTTATATTCCTGGATAAAAATGGTCCCCCTGGGACCTTGTGCACAAATCTGGACAGTTCTTCAGTAATTTTGTGTGTGCGTGTTTTACCTCCACACATTTGCTATTGCTGGACTTCCTGCTAGGCAGGCCATCTTCATTCTTCTGTCCTCCGCCTTTTGCTCTGATCCTGGTTTTATTGAATGAACCCCACTTCTCTTGCTCTCATTGTGGTTTTTACATCACACTCTTTTCTCCTAAAATCTGTGTCATCCCACTCCTGAGAGCCTGCTGTCCAGTCTTTCCTGAACACTCCTCTCCCGCTTCTGGTGTCAAAGGTGGTGGTCACGCCTCCTGGGCACTTCAGGCCTTCTGCTGGGCTGTGCCGTCCACAGCTGTCTCCTGCCTGCACAACAGAACCACCCACAGGGACCACAGAAAAACAGACAGTGGTGGTTTTACTTGACTTGAGCCTTTTCCCTATTCTCCTGGCAACTGTGACTCGGTTCCCTTTGAGGACCCTCTCTGTCCATATGGCTCTGGCAGAGTTAATCCCAATGTGTCCCTAGGACATAGGAACTAACCTAACCAGTGAACCTCTTGGTTCTCCTTTGGCTACGTTGATTTGGGCAGAGATGGGAAGTGGCCCAGTTTAGGCAACGAGAACCAGGCTGGACTGCTGGGGAAAGGACAGCTTTCTAACAGGGTGTCAGCTTGGGCTGCAGTGTGCATCCTGCCAGTGTTGGAAATAAGATGGAGCTTGAGAATGAAGCCAATAGGGAGGCAGTCGATGGTGAAAGACCGAGTCCTGAAGACATTAGAGACCCTTTGGTCTCACCGGCTGGAAGCTCACCTGGGCCTCTGATGGTAATCTTGATTGTCAACTTGACGGGATTGGAAACATCTAGGAAGTCAGCAAAGCGCGTTTCTCAGTGGGTCTGTGAAGATGTTTCCGGAGATGACCCATGTGTGGGACAGCAAACTGATGAGGGAGACCCATCTGCATAGGGCAGGGGCCCAGGATGGTTCAAAAGGGGAAGGAGAAAACCAACAACAGCACAGGCTGAAATGAGAAGTTTTTCTCCACCACAACCTTCTTCCCAACTCAGGGCATAGAAGCAATGAAGTCATTCAACCATGGACTAAAACCTCTGAAACCATGAGCACAAATAAACCTCTCCTCCTTGACGTTGTTTTTCTCAGATATTTGTCACAGTGGTGGAAAACTGACACAATGGCTGAACTTTCCACCCATGAGAATCAGTTTTGCTCAAACTGGTCCGAGCTGGGTTTCTTTTCTTGCAAGTCTGAGAGGTTGGAGTCACACAGAGTGTCCTTACTCCACCTCACTGACCCTGAATCTGTGCAGTTGGTGGGAAGGGCTGGTAGAGAACCACAGTTCTTATCTTGCTCACAAAAGTTCCCCAGGGATTGGAGGACCCTCCAGGGTAGAAGTCTTGCCCTGCACATTGGCCCTAGGGTACTTGTTCCTCCTGGGCTCATTCTCTCCTCTGCCTGTGACTTTTCCCATGAGAAGTCACAGTTCACATTCCCCACACTTATCACTCACACCTCCAGCTGCCTTTTGGGCCCCTGGGAGCTCCTCTCCTTCCCCTTGTACCCAGCTTCTTAGCTCTTTCTGCCTCTCTCTCATTCCCCTGGTCAGGACACTGGCATCACCCTGAGGCTTGGGCTGGGTGTCTGTTCTCCTACTGTTCCCTCCTTCACCCAGTTGTGACTGCCCTGCAGGTGCCACCTGAGTTTCACCCAGTATCTCCCTCCTTTCTTCATGCTGTCCCCCAGGCCTGGACCAAGCCCACTCCTTACCCAACCCCACTCCTCTCCCACGTAGTAGCTGCCATGGGCAAACTCCACCCGAGAAACCCACCTGAGGGGGCTGGGCTGGGACCTGCTTGAATCTCTCCAAACACTCCAGACTCCCCATGCCATAGTTCTTTCCAAAGCTTTGTGGTCTCTGGCATGAAGGCCTAGCTCTCCAGCTCTGCTTCTGACTCTTGTGTGTGGTAAACAACACGAGAGAAGGGGCGTGGGGCATGGATCCCTAAGTGGCTTTGTGCGGTCAAGTAGCACGCAAGCCTAGCCTCTAACATGAGTGAGAAGTCACCTAGCTCCTGGGAGCCACTGTGGTCCTGGACCTATCTTCTGTAGCGTGAGCCCTATCCTAACTAGACCTGAGTCTGTCCCCAGGGGCTGTGAGCTCCAAGGCACAGGGCTGCCTGGACCACCCATGTGCCTGCAGCACTCAGCATGGCGCAAGGCCCTAGGAATGGCGGTGGGAATCAGTAAGCATGTGCGTGATAAATGATGGGGTGTGTGCAGGCTCTGGCTCTTTCCAATCTCTGCACCTCTACTTCCTCTTGTACAGCATATAGAGATTAGTGGGCAAGGAAGAGAAAGAAATGGATGGCTTGGAGCCATCCCACCTCAAAAATCCATTCATCCAGCAAATATTTATGAAGGCCTTTGTAGGGCTGGTCCCTGTGCTGGTGTTGGGGATATAAGAAAGCAGGCCAGTGGTTCCTGGCCTACTGCCATGTATTGTGCCTGGTGTGCGGGGAAG